ACGGTGTACATGAGGTGCAGGCGGTCAAACACCTCCTGGAAGAGAAGGACTGAGCTCCACCACCCTGCCAGAGCACAAGGGGAGCAGGGCTGGTTTGAGGAGCAGAGAGAGAAGAGCCCCCTGCCCCCAGCGCTTCTCCCAGCCTTTGCTTCATCCTCTCCTGGCCCCCATCCACACCCCTTTCCCAGCACCTTCGGCAGAGTCACCTTCTGGCGGCTCCGGCTCTCAGAGGAGAAGAGCAGGGCACACTCGGTGTAGTTGGCCCAGGTCTTGTTGATGCTGAGAGCCATGGCCCAGGTGCCATAGGCACTGCAGTACCTGTAGGCGTGACCTGGGAACAGCAACGAGCACCGTGGCAGCAGAAGGAGCCGCGGGAAGCCCAGACCTGTCCCTGCTCCATGGATTGTCACCAGGGTGAGGTCGCTTTCTGCCTAGGTGCAAGACTTGCCTTTGTGGTTGAAGTCATAGATGTAGTCGGGGCAAGGCACTGACACCTCCTGGCTGGGGGAGCCCCTTGGCCAGCAGATGATCCCGTCCCACTCCGGAGGGCAGCTGGGGTCTGGCCAAAGAGCAAAGACACATCTCATATCTCCAGCATAACCCTCAGCATAATCTCTGTCTTCCCCAGGTGTGTGCTGGACTGGGGGAGGAAAACACTGCCACGGATCCCCTGGGCTGCAGAGAGGGAGAAGCTGCAGGGGACCAGGGAAGGGGACACATCCCACCTCTTCCAGGCTGGGCAAGGCCCCTCCACAGCTCTCATTCGTGGTCTACATGGAGCTGTCTGGAAAATGCTGGAGCCAGTGCTGGCTGCACCCAGGGCACAGATGGTGCCATAAGCTCTGCAAGCCCGCAGGAGCTGGGTGTCCTCAGCCCCATCCTGCCCCAACAGAGAGGACAGCATTCCCCATGGTGTAACCAGGGCTGGCTGACCCAAGCACAGGGGAGGGACAGTACCTTTGATCTTCTCCAGCTGGGCCTTTATGTCCCTCTGACACTTTTCCTTGGCCTCCACCAGGAGATAGATCTGCTCTTCTTTCGTGAGAACATCATCGGGATCGACCTGCCCAGACAAAACACAGGTGACAACCCCTTGGCTCAAGTCATAGTGTGGCTGTGCTCTCAACCCTCTCCAGGAGAGTCAGGTTTGGATGGTCTTGGGTAGATTCAACAACATAGGGAAGAAAAAAGCTCTTCCTGCCTTCCTGCTCTCATTTTTCCCTTTCCCAAGGCTGATGCTGACCCCAAGCCCCTTCCCACCCTCTCCATGGTCGTTTCTTCTCATGGTTTTGTGCAGAAATCAGTGGCCTGTTGGGCTACTGCCCCAGCTCCCTGTCACCCATCACCAGCAGTGCTGGGTGTCCCTGTTGCCCACGCTGAGCTCTCCAGGCCAGGTCTGGCAACCCCTGGGTAAAGTGCCTGGCCGGGGCTCAGCAAAGCAGCCACTGCCCAGTGCCCAGAGCAGACAGTGCAACCCATGGCACCTCCAGCTTCCCCATCACACCACTAAATGTCTTTCGAGGTGTTCTGGGGTAAGGTGCTGGAAGGAATTTAGAGCCAGGATGAGGACACAGCTTTCGAAGAGAAAAGGAGCTGGGATGCAGAGGGGTCACTCTCTCCAGACTGCCTCCAGTGAGCACAGCCAAATTTGGCCCCAGAGAGGAGATCCAGAACTCCTGTCCACGCTCCTCCCCAAACCAGCATCTGGGTGGGTGAATGGGGGGCTGGTCAGGGATGTGGGGCAGGAGTGGGATCCTGGGGGTGCATCAGCAGGATGGGGGCCTGGCTGTGGGAATCTCCCTAGCTGTGCCCAGCTCTGCCCTCGCCGCATCCCTCCAACCCTTCTGCACTGCCTGCTCTGCTCCCCCAGCACCTCCGAGGCACTGAATCCCGCCCTGGATGTGTCCACAAAATGGAAAAGCCATCACACTGCAGTGCCTCCGTGACTGTTGGAAAGCTTTTAGCAGGAGTGGAGATGCTCTCTCCTCCTGCCCAGCAGCTCCACAGAGGGGACGTGAGTCGGGAGCACAGGCAGCCCTGCCCGGGCCACTGGCACAACATTTAAAGCCATGAGAGGGACCGGAGCAGCCCCGGGGCCATGCAGACTTACCAGAGCCCACGCCGAGCTCAGGAGGCAGCAGCAGAGAGTCACCATGATACCTGCCACAGGGCCAGATGCCTCCATGGTGCCACTGTGTCACTCAGATGGGGTCTTCAGGGACCAGAACCGCTGCCAGTGCTGGAGAGGGCTTCTGTGTTCAGCAGGACAGATCATCTTCTGGGAGCACCTTCCTGGCTTCCTGCTCACCCTGTTGAGGTGAGGTGGCAGTGGGCACAGCCCGACTCTGGGAGATCAGGGCTGGGTGAGTCCCCTGTCCCTGTGGGATCCCTATCGGGATCTCCTCACAGGCTCTCGGGGCAGGGGGGTTTCTCCCCCCACCATGCTTGATCCTATTCTCTTTGCGTCTTGCCTGCTTTAAGCAGCTCCGGGAGCGTGAGCAAACAATTCCTGTTCAGATGGGGATGGCAGAGGTTTATTGGCTTAGCCCAAGGTGCTAAAATCCTCTTCATTCAAGGCAGATTCCTCTTCTCTTTTCAGAAACTTCTCTCAGTGCCTGGTGGCTCATTTTTCAGCTGTGACAGCATTCCCCCACTGCCCCCACGCTCCTAAGTCCCTTCTAGCCCCAGACTGGTCCCAAGGAGCCAGAGGAAGGTGGGGAAAATCCTAGTGAGGTGGAGGCAGGGAGGCAGAGAGTGCAAGCACGTGAGCAGCACCTTGAGCTGATGCTCCTGCGATGGGGTGTCTTTCAGGCAGATGCCAGTTTAACTCTTCCTTCTCTGGGGGCTGGGATCCGTTCTGTTCTCCCAGGCACCCGCAGTGACCTCAGGGCACGTCTGCATTCAGTCTCCTCGGGAGAGGGGCTGGAGGCTCCATCCTGGGGCAGGGGGTGGAGGGAGCAGCCACACAGATGGGGTCCCACATCACCACTGGACATCAGGTCAGAACTGGTCCCACTGCAGCTGTCACCATCCCTTGTCACCTGCATTCCCCTGGCACAGCCCCAGGGCTGTCCCCTGCCTTTCAGGGTCGTGCTGATGGCGAGCTTGCTCCCACCACCCAGCCAGTTCCAACACCTTGTGACCCCCAGCAACCCGAATATCCCCCTGGGAAATGGGGCACCAAGAGGGGAGCCCTCTTTCCTCAGGCAGGTTGTCGTTAGTGGGATGAGGCTGGAATTCAACAGCCCAGTGCCAAATCCCTGGAACAACAGCTCCCAGCCTGGGCCCCTCCCTTGGCCCGTATAATCCATGTCCAGAGCTCTTGTTGCCTCTCTAAGTGCCCCATTCCTGCACAGAGCAGCAGAGCCCCCAGAGCCTTCCTTGGGGATTTCCCAGCAAGGCAGCTCATTGTGGCCCCAGCCGTGAGCCCCTGAAACTGCGTGACAAGGGTCAGAGTCCTGCTGGGCTCCTGCAGTGAGGGAAGGCCAAGGGAGCACCACAAATCTCAAGGACAGGCCTCAGGAGGGGCTGCTGATCCTGCTGATGGAATCAGACAGCAAAACGAGCCCCACAGTGGCCATCAGCTGAAAATCAGGGAGGGACTGGGGACACTCTGCAGCTGCCTCCACTGCCTGGCCCGTGCTGTGGGTGTGACACCAGCTCTGCCAGCAGCTCCTGGGGATGCTGCACAGGCACAGAGCACAACCAAGGGATAAACAGTCAAACTGCACCACAAATGTTTTCTGAAGGTTCTGCTGGGTCTGATTTCTGACCCAGAAGCTGCTGGGGAGTGAAGATGGGGTTAAGGTGAGGTTATTTTGGAGTCAGATGGATGCTGAGGGGGAGGCAGCTCAGGGGCAATTTGATTCTTTTGATTTCCCAGGTGAAACCTGACCCAGGCTCTGAGTTCACACTTAGCAAAACATGTTGAGTTTTTTTGCTAAATGACTTGTTATACTCTAGAGAGCTTTGGAAAGCATTGATTGCAAATGACACCCATCCAACCCCCTCAGCTCCCCAGTCCCCGCTAGCAATGAGATGATGGCACACAGAGAATTCCCAGCAGTTTGTGACTGCTCCCTCTTCCTGAATGACCCCCATAACCCCTCCTTTGCCCTGGTGCCCCACACATCTTGTTTAAGTCGATGGTTTAGAATGTCACAGAAAAACCCTCAAGCCCCATTTTCTGGGATGCTGAACTTCAATGAGTTCTGTGCCTTTGTGAGTCTTCAAACAGTTGGGAGAGGAGAGTGAGAGCCAGAGCATCTCCCACCAGAACCTGCCCAGCACCTGGAAAGGAGCCAAAAGGAGACCCCATCTGCCCTGCAGATTTTGGAGGTGCTTTGGATGGATGGTGCGAAGCTGGGAAAGATTTGTGCTGATGAATTCAGTTGTGGCTTTGGCCATCATTTCCATTTCCTCATTAGCCACACTGAGGGAGGTGAGCACCTACATTCGTCTTTTCCAGGGCACAAGCTCACCCCTGGCGAGAGACAGGGAGCAAGCAGACCCCGAGCACAAGGAGGGGGTGTTCGGGCAGTTCTGAGCTCCTTTGAAGCAGCACTTCATAAATCCTAGTCTTAAAAGGGCTCTGCAGTGCTGGCCCTCGCAGCCTGCAAGCAGGCGCATTTCACCGTGGGTATTGGGGCAGGTTTATCAGCCATGCTGTTGCTATTTTCTTGCCTGGCCCCCGTGGCCATTCATGTTTAGGTTTCAGTGATCGTTTAGCAAGCAGCCCCCATGCAGCCCACCCGGTGCAGGTGCTGGAGGGGGACATGTCCCCCCTTTTGCAGCTGGGGGGGGGCGGCCGGTGGCTCCGTGGAGCCAGGAGCCGATGACAATGGGCAATTGTCAAATTGGGGCCCCTCTCGTTTGAGTTTTCTTCCTTTTATAGTAAGTAGCAGTTGCTCCAGCAGCTGGCCTGCCCCTCCAGGGTGAGCACTGGGCTCCGTATATAAGGGAAGGAGCAGCCTTTGCCTTTCATCCCTCCGTTTGCTTCCCTCGCTGGGCGGCAGGATTCATCCCGCACCTCCGCAAATCCCAGCGCGATGCCGCTCAAGAAACCCGACCCGAAGAAGGAAGCAGCCAAAGCAGCTCCAGGCTCTGAGCCTGCCTTCGATCCCAAGAGCGTGAAGGTGAGTGAGGAATGAGGACGTCACCGTGTTTCTCCGTGCCTGTCATCTGCCAGGCACAGGCGATGCAAAGCGCTCTGCAAATGGCATTAGTCAGGCTGGAAGCCAGCCTCGGGAGGGGAAAATTATCCGATTGTGTGGATGCAGTAGGCTGGGAGTGATGCTGTCCTCGCTGGGGAGATGTCTCGCTCTTCCCCACCCAGCCCTGCCCAGCACTCACTGGAAGGAACCAGGATGCCGCTCCCAGAGCTGCGGCTGCAGAGTCGAACCCCAGCTCCTGCTGAGACCCCGTGTCGGGGCCCCAGCAGCAATAAAAAGCTTCTCTGCCACCCACTGCCTCCATCCTGAAGTATTTTGTTGCCTGCATTGCCTCCTCCACATAAGAGCATCCTTTATCCAGCAGCTCCACAACAGGAACTCGCTTTTTCCATCATTCCTCAGGTTACTCACATTTTTAAGCCAGAGCTGTGGCAGGAGAGTTATTAAGAGCAGGCTCAGCATGGAGGCTGTTTAATCACTTGAACTTGGGATCAGACCCTAAAATAACATCCTTTCTACCCAAAATAGTCCTGACTGTGGTCTGAGCATTGGTCTTGCCTGCCCACCCTGCTGCTGCCAGCTGTGCTCTCAGACCGCAGCTCCACAGCGAGGGCAGAAGCAGTGGGAGACACGGCACAGCCAGACATGGCACAGATCTGGGACACAGCATGGATACGGCCCCCTGCCCCAAGCCTGGGGAGGGAGAGGTCCAGAGGGGAGAGTTCCTTTTACTCCCCCCAGCAGTAGCCCACATCTCATACCCGGCTCTGCTTCCTTCTCTTTACAGATTGAATTCACGGCAGAGCAGATTGAAGGTAAGTGTTGTGTTCAGCTTCTCTCAGAGATGGCTTTAGAAATGGGGAGTCCTTTTACCAGGTAGTTTTTCACCACAGACACAAGAGCCGAGGCACCACACAAATCCCCTCTTGGGGGAAAGGCCAGCAGGATCCAGAGCCTGTCAGGGCAAAGGTATTTTTCATTCACAGTGCAAGATGCAGCTGGGGTCAAAGTCAGGGCTTCTGGTAGGAGGAACAGCCTCTGGCAACACAGGGACAGCCCCAGAGTGGAGAGAGTGGAAAAGGGGATAAGTAGGGATGTCCTGCAGCAAAGCCAGCTGCTGAGGGTGCAGGGATCCAGCAGGTCACCCAGCCAGCTCTGCAGAGGTGACAAAACCTGCTCAAGCAGCCAAGTGACTCATGCAAGGAGTCCAGCAAACCTCAGCCCGCACTGCACAAGCTCACTCAAGGCTGCAATGCCTTCAGAGGGCACAACATGCACATGGCCATCCCTTCCCTGCCTGCCAGGCACGATGTGCTTCCCTGGGGTGGGAATGGGACCACTCCGGGCTCTTCTTCCCTGCAGAGTTCAGAGAAGCCTTTGGGCTGTTTGACCGGACGCCTGCGGGGACGATGCAGATCAGCTACGGACAGTGCGGGGACGTGCTCCGAGCGCTCGGCCACAACCCCACCAACGCAGAGGTCCTCAAGGTGCTGGGCAAGCCCAAACCAGAAGGTGACAGCAAGCTGGGGACAGGGTGGGACAAGAAATTCCTGTGCTCCCTGGCAGCAAGTAGAGGGTTACATTCCCTGTAGGAAGAACCCTGCAAGGTGAAGGAACTGGAAAGGAAATTATGCAGACAGGGCTTCATTCCTGTGTAATTAATTCCTTCACTCCCCTTCCCCATACCACGGATAGGCAGTCCTCACACTATGGATGGTGGAAAGTGATGCTTAGCAGACTTTATCCTGAACTGGTGCAAACTGGTATAACCAGACCAGTCCCAGTGCAACCACATTATTGTGGTGGCAGATGATCCACCTGATGGTTTAGTTTTGGGCTGATGTCAGGGGTCTCTGTGCAGTTTGATACTTCACTCATATTCCTCATATGGATCTTCCAGTCTCAAGTCTAATAGTTCTGTCTCCTCGTGGGGCTTCTCCCCTGCGCTCCAATGAAATGAGACCAAGAGAGTTAATCAGGAGGCCCCCAGAGACTGAATTCCGGCCCTTGAGGTTAATCTCTGACCCCATCTCCTCCCCTTCCAGAAATGAACACAAAGATGCTGGACTTTGAGACCTTCCTCCCCATCCTGCAGCACTTCACCCGCAACAAGGAGCACGGCACCTTTGAGGACTTTGTGGAAGGGCTGCGTGTGTTCGACAAGGAGGGCAACGGGATGGTCATGGGGGCCGAGCTGCGCCATGTGCTGGTCACACTGGGTATGGCTGGCCCTGGGCCTGGCCTCGGGGGGGAGGGAGGCATGGGCCCCAGGCTCTTTCTGGGCAAGTGGCTCGGGTGGCTGGCTGGTCTCACATATTGCAGAGGCCCTTTTCACTCTGCTGCTCACAGGCTCTTTTAGGAGTCAGTAGTCCTGAATGTGTGGCCATTTCCATCTCATGCCACAGCTTCATGCACGACCCAGGCAAGATGGAGACTCCAGAACATCCTCAGTTACCAGACAACAGTTGCAGTGTGGTCCTCTCCCCACCATCTCCCACCAGCATTCCTCAGTAGTGGCACACAGCTCTTCTTTAATCCCCTTCTCCTCCCTCTGGTGACTTTGGTTATCTGGAAGGACAGGAAGGTCCTGGCAGGCTGAAAACCCTTTCCCTCACCTCTCCATCCTCCTCTTCCAGGAGAGAAGATGACAGAAAGCGAGGTGGAGCAGCTCATGGCAGGGCAGGAAGATGCCAATGGCTGTATCAACTATGAAGGTAGGAGCAGGAGATTCCCATTGGGGCCATCTCAGACACAGCTGTCTTATCTTAGAGCGCAAAATGCATCCTCCACAAGGGCTCTGGTTGAACTTGATGATCTTAATGGTCTTTTCTGACCTTAATGATTCCATTATTCTGTGACATTCATGTTAACTGGAAGGGAGGTGTGGACCACCCTCCAAAACAAAGCCTTTCCAAAAAAGCACTGAGACATGTCAGCTGGGGTGGGAGCAAGGTGGTTGTGCCAGTGATTTCCAGGAAAAGCAGCTGAAGACAGCATGTTTCCAAGGAGTTCAGGGCTGTTTTATCTACAGTTTTGGCACTGTTTTGTTGCAAGCTATTGAAAATAAACAAAGCCAGCATCTTTCCCAGCAGAGGCTAATTGGGAACATTTGGAGACCTGGATCACTCGCTGCTCCAAGAGGGTGAAAATCTGGAATACGAGGAATTAAAATTAAATTTAGGAACCCCTAAAATTGGAGATCAGTGAGGAAAAGAGGGGACCCATTTCCCTTGGTCTCAGAAAAATGGGGGTAATGGTACCAGCTCATCTCCAAGGGTTGGCATCACTCTGACCAGGTTGGGGATGGCATGCAAACAACGGGAACAGAAAGAGGAATATTAGTCCTGGCAGAGCATCCCCTTCATCCCAGGGGGGTCCAGGCTAGGGGTCCCCCCTGCTGCCTCACCACCTGCCCCTGTCTTCCCCAGCTCACAGCATGTCCTGACCCCTCACGCTCTCATTTCTCCTCAGCTTTTGTCAAGCACATCATGTCTGGCTGAAATGCGAAACTTCAGGTGAGTTCAGTGGCGTCTCCTGCTGCTCACTCCAAAATTGGAAATCCTGCAAGTAACAGCCAAGGGCAGAGAAGCCAAAACCCAAACCTGCAGTGGATTAATGCCACAGGAATAATCCCAGCTCTGAAGGCGCAGAAGTTATGTTGATGATAAGGAATTTCATTTGTAACTCCTGCCAATTAAAATTTATCAGGACATCATCACCCCTATGATGGTCATTTGTAGTCTGGGTAATTGTGTGGAGTCTCTGCTCGGAAAGAAAAATTTTCCACGGATATTTGTTAAACTTCTTCGTGTTCCTTGAGATCGGCCTGAGGAAAACAGAGAAACCAAGGGGATGAGGTTTCTTTGAAGGTGAATTATTCCTCTAAAATCTATTCAATTGAAAAAAAAATCTAAACTGCTGCCTGGCCCCAGCTTCCCCTGTCAAATTCTTATGACTTCATTATCTATTTACTCTTTTAAATATTTCTCCTACCCCTCACTGCCCCTCAGCTATGTAAAAGTCAGGCGGCCAGGGGAAAAAAAGAGTAAAAATTACCTTCAGACATTGCTAAATACACAAATTAAACATTTAAAAATCTCTCCCCTCCAAAAATCTCTTTAAACATCAGAAGGTTAAAATGCAGACTGACAGAAGTCTGAACTTTGAATGTTCAGCATCCTTTTTATCTTCTTTTTAATCCATTTCTCTCCAGTTCCTTTTCATCAGCTCAGCAATATAGATGGTTGGGTGGCAAAAGCTGCCAGATTTAATTCTTCACATAACTATTTGCATATAAAACTCTTTAAAATGGTGTTGAATTACAGCTCTTGACAGTTTGGGTTCAACTGAGAAGGAGTACTCTGAATACTCTCATCCCAAAGATTCTTTGCATTGTCCTCTCCCTCTTGTCTCCAAAGCTCTCAGAAATGCTTGGACCCACCTGAGCACCATGAAGAGCGAGATTCCTCCATCCATGTCCCTTCCCTGGCATGTTTTGCCTAAGCTGTCGCAAAGCATTGGTCACCACGTGTGTGTACCTAAGCCTGGTGTTCAATGACATACCTGCACCTAATTACTCTTTTCAGGTTTTCCCTGTGACATTTGTCAAACTACATTTCATTCCTTCCTCCCTTACATGGTTTGTTTGCTTTGGCTGGGGACTACCTATTGGGTGGGTGGAGGAGACCCCTCGGTAGTTCTGGGCCAGGTCCACCCTCATGGTGTGGGGTGTCCCTGGGGTGTGGGCAGTGTCCTGCCTGGGATGGAGACCAGCCAGGATGGGCTCCCTGGGTGGTTCTTCTCCAGGCAGATGCTGTGTTCCAGCCAGGAACTGTCTGGGGCCTGTGTGATACAAGCTGGTGACTCTCTCCCTCTTCCAACCTGCAAAGCAATCTTCAGAGCATCACCACAAGCGGTGAATAATTCATGACATGTAACTCAGCCTTCCCATGAGCAGAACACCTGGGAGCAGAAAACGCTTTCCTTTGATTTGTTCCTTCTTCCAATGTCCTCACTCTGACTTTGACTAGAAATTGAAGGCATTTTTGCTCCGATGTGTTGACTTCAGCTGCCACTCACTCGTTCCTGTGCAATGACTGAGTAACAGCTGCTTTCAATCCCCACTGTTTGATTCAACTGCTCATAAAAAGCAACATAAGCTGTTTATAGATGCGAAATTAGATTTGAGCTCCTCTCTCTGCTATTCCTACAGCTTCCATTGGGCAGGATCTGAGCACCTCGTGTTTTTAATGTACTATCTGTGCTTTAAGCTCCTAGAGGGCTGTGGTGACAGGGTCAGAAGGGACTCTGCTTGCTGCACACTTGCTCTGGGGTCACGTTTGTCCTTGTCACTGATGTGGCACCAACTCCTGCAGCAGAACGTGCTGTAGTAGAGAGAAATGGATCAGAGGAAAGGTGGGGACCTGCCTCAACTCACAGAGGAAATCCTCAGCAGGGACTGGGGACCCTGGAGCCATGACATCCCTGCTATAGCCATGATATTCCTGCTACAGCTGTGATATCCCTGCTAGCCTTGACACTCCTACTGAAGCCATGATATCCCTGCTAGCCTTGATATCTCTGCTAGCTGTGATATCCCTGCCCTTCAAGCCAAGAGGCTGCACTCTCACTCCTCTGTGCAGAACACAGGCCTTTTGTTTGAGCCCCCACCTTCAATGCTGAAAGGAGTAGCACTAAATTAAAACCAAAGTGAGACCTTCAAAGAGACAGACAGAAAGCAGGCAGTGGGAAACCACAAAAGTCAGGAAAATAGTTTTCTATGTGAAAAATCCAGCTCTTGAAAGCCCCTTGGGGGGAGAACCAGCCACACTTTACTTTGGGGAATCTGTTGTGTCTCTTTAGGATAAAGTAGAGCTGGTTTGTAGCAAAGCAGGTTGGAATGATGCACTTGAACAGGCACAGTATGTCTGTCTGTACCTCTGCTTGTGCTTCCATGCCTCTTCCTCTGGCAAGGCTGCTCCCCTTCTCCGCTGGGAAAGTTGAGGATTCCACAGAGAAAGCGGCTTTAGTCCCATGGACATTTATAAAAACATCTGTGGGTGCCAGTGAGAGACCCCACAGGCAGAACTGCACCATAGGTCTGAGGAGTCTCTGTAAATCCAGATCTCCAAAGACAACAGCGAACACTGACCTTTTACAGCTTGGATGTTTTACATGAATTCCAGGAGACTCTGAGAAGAGGCACAAGGAGCCCCCATGCTCCAGAGAGCCTGTATCTCCTCAGGCTGTGATAAGACAGACTCTCATACCAAAGAAGGTCTGGATGTCAGGAGTTCTGTGCCCTGGGGAATGGGAGAGACAGAAGGAGCCAGCTTTCATCCCCAGGAGGAGTTATCTGCAGTGCATGAGATCAGGAGGAGGGTGAACATGGACTGTGCTCCTTGAAAGGCTGCTTGGAGCCTCACACCATATATACACACCACCATCATCTACATCACTGAGGCCAAAGGCCTTCAGGGGAGGAGACACTTCACTGCCATGTTACTCACACCCTCCTATCTGGCAAAATGACTTGGATCAACCTGATTAGGAAGCCAGGTATCCATCCCAGGGGTTGTCTCAGGTGAAGGATTGAAGAAAGCTTTGCCTGCTCACACCCTGAAAGCAAACACCTACAGATTTGCTGCCAATAACAAATTTGTAACTACATTTTTCAGAAATGCAGAGGAAGTGGGGAAGGATGCAGGCTGAGCTCTCCCACTCCACACAGAGCTTCGATTCTCACCTGCAGATACAGCCCCTGCTCACGTGTGCTTGGCAGCACATCAGGATCTGACCTTCGGGCCTGAGTGCAAGTGCAAAGCCCTGAACAGAGCAGGATGGAGCACAGAGTCTGTGTGTAGGTGTGTGTGCATCGGGGTGCTCCTACGGCTGATTCAGCAAGCCCACAGAAGGATTTGGAGAAGGAAGACTTCTGCTAGCTGCAGGTGTCTATTGATAGGTCAGTATTTTTAATAAATTGAGGTTTACTTGTGCATCTCTATTCCATTATTTTGTAAAAAAAGCAAAATATGTGCCAGATATCACACTTTCAAACACATCCAAGCTTTAATTGGCCTGCCTTGTATTTATACCCAAGCCTGCCAGTTTTAATCCTGGATATGAGGACATCACCAGGAGTTTCTTCACAGAATGGGTTGTTAAACATTGGCAGGGGCTGCCCAGGGAGCTGGTGGAGACGCTGTCCCTGGAGCTGTCCAAGGAACAACTGGACATGGCACTTAGTGCTCTGTCTATTGACAAGGCAGCAATCAGTCACAGGTTGATGACTCAATGATCTGGGAGGTCTTTTTCAACCCACATGATCCTGCGATTTTGTGATATCGTGGCTGAACCTACCTGGAGAGCACCATCAGCATGGACCCCTCAGTGACGGGGATAGGACCTGGGCCGTGCTGACCCCGATGCTGGGAACGGGGACACGGGAACCACCAGCCAAACGCAGCGCAGGCGGCCGGGCTGGCTCAGGATGCGCAGGTGATGACAGGAGGGAGTCTTTGGAACACCGCCCCGAAAAACGCGGTTCCCGACAGGGCTAGGGATGCTCAGAGTCCGTTCTGTGGCACAAAGTACAAGTTCTACATTCCATGGATAGAACTTCCAGAGCAAAGGCTCTCTGAGGGACCAGCCACAGGCCCTGACGGAGGTTCACCATCCGCCTCACGTTCGTCCATCTCCGTCTCTGCTCGGACATCTCCGTCCTAGCTCGTACAGCTCCGTTCCATCTCGGCCATCTCCGTTCCTGCTCGGCCACCTCCGCCACAGTTCGGCCACCTCCGACGCCGAGTAGTTTCCTCCCGCCTGCCGAGCGCGGCTTTCCCAGCTGTTTTCCGTCGACGTTCGGCTCTTTCCGCCTGCGCCTTCGGCTATTTCCGGCGTACGGTTCGGGTATTTCCGCCGCCGGTTCGGGCGGATTCGGCGCCCGCCGGCCTCGCTCGCTCCGGTAACGGTCGGTGCGGGTTCAAAT